TTTTTTTTTTTAAGATTTATTTATTCACTTCAGAGAGAGAGCGTGCACAGCAGGAGGGGCAGAGGGAGAGAGAATCTCAAGCAGACTCTGTGCTGAGCATGGAGCCTGATGTGGGGCTCGATCTCCTGACCATGAGATTATGACCCAAGCTGAAACCAAGAGTTGGATGTTTAACTGACTGCACCAATGAGGTGCCCTGAGAAACAGTATTTTGAATATATACTTAATAGCTGAAGACAAAATAATATTCACAAATATTGTACTTCTGTTAGCAGATTCATTTTTTCCAGGGGTATGGATTAGCAATTCTGAAACTATGTGTTCTCAGATTGAACAATAAGTAAACATGTTGTGGATAACAACAGCCAAGTTTCTCACTGTCAGACAAAGGAGTTTTCTTTTTTTTTTTTTTTAAAGATTTTATTTATTTATTTGAGACAGAGAGAATGAGAGACAGAGAGCATGAGAGGGAGGAGGGTCAGAGGGAGAAGCAGACTCCCTGCCGAGCAGGGAGCCCAATGCGGAACTCGATCCCGGGACTCCAGGATCATGACCTGAGCCGAAGGCAGTCGCTTAACCAACTGAGCCACCCAGGCGCCCTCAGACAAAGGAGTTTTAAAGAAACAGGGGAGGGGCGCCCAGGGGGCTCAGTTGGTGAAGCATCTGCCTTTGGCTCAGGTCATGATCCCATGGTCCTGGGATAGAGCCCTGTTTTGGGCTCCCTGCTCAGCAGGGAGTCTGCTTCTCCCTCTCCCTCTGACCCTCCTCCCTGCTCATGTTCTCTCTCTCAAATAAATAAATAAAATCTTTTTAAAAAAATAATTAAAAAAATAAATGGGGGAGGCCAGTATGAACCCTGTGGTGTTGGACTGGAACTGGAGGTATCAGTATGAATTCATGGGTTTTAATGTACATAAGTATGTATGTATACAAATAGATATAAAAATTGATCAATATGTGTGTGTCAATAAATGCATATGTTTCCTAGCTTTGTCTGCTGAGAGGGCCTAGAAGCAAGGAAATCCCAGTACAAAAGAGCACACCTACCACCCAGAAGTTGTTTCTGTCTGCCATCTCTGATCAAAGGAACCAGGACTCTTGGGAGAAATGACTGATTCCATTTGGGTTGGAGTTGGGAAATACAAGGTAAGCCTAGAACACTTTAAGTTTCCAGAAAGTAAGGAAGTACTCAAAAAACGCTGGAGATATGCCAAAGAGACAGAGGCTCCCAGTATAAATGATAGTAATGGATTATCACCCCCAAAATAAAATTAATATTCAAGAGTATTTTGTCACATAAATAATTGAATATCAAATAAATGGAGAGAAGGAAAGTTATTAAAGCAGAATTTCATCTGACAATAGAAAAATTACCATTTGTCAAGCATCACAGTAATAATTATTTTAGACAAAAAAGCATCAATGGATGCTAAAATTAGTAGGCAAAAAGTATGATGAGAAACAGGATATTTACTTAGTTTCAAAGTATCTCCCACCAAGCCACTCTCGATTACTAACAGAAAACAGTAACTTTACCGTGGAGAAATCTGGCAGATAACCTTAACTATATGATAAAATTAGGATCACCAAGAAGACAAATCTCCATCATGGGTTTCCAGATAAAATGTGTGAGAAGAACACAGCATTGTTCTGTTTCATTCTTACTAAAAATGCACAGCTGAAATTTAATCATGAAGAAATCAGAAAAATTCAAATACAGGAACATTGTACTAAAGTGTCAAGGTAAAGAAAGATAAAACAAGATTTAGAAAATGTTCCAGACTAAAGGAGACGCTGTTAATATTTAGGGAATCTGGGTGACCAGTATATGGGAATTCGTTATACTACTTCCGCAAGTGAGTCTGAATTTATTTCAAAATTTTAAAAAATATAATGTTCATGGGACACCTGGGTGGCTCAGTCGGTTAAGTGTCTGCCTTTGGCTCAGGTCATGATCCCAGAGTCCTGGGATTGAGTCCCACATCAGGCTCTTTACTCAGCAGGGGGCCTGCTTCTTCATCTATCTCCTGCTCCCCCTGGTTGTGCTTTCTCTCTCTCTGACAAATAAATTAATAAAATCTTAAAAAAAATTTTTTTTAAATATAATGTGCATGTGCGCAAGCATGTGTGTATATACATGCATAGAAAAAGCCCTAACAGTAATAATAGAAGTGTTTGTAGTGATTATCTCTGATAATCTCTTATTTGTATTTTCTGATTTTTCTCTGGTGAAATGAGAATTGTACTATCACATAAATGTTAACATTTGGAGAGTCGGGGAGGGTATGTAGGAATTCTTTGTACTATTTTTGCAACTTTTTTTTTTATTCTTATGTTAATCCCCATACATTACATCATTAGTTTTAGATGTAGTGTTCCATGATTCATTGTTTGTGCATAACACCCTGTGCTCCATGCAGAATGTGCCCTCCTCAATACCCACCACCAGGCTAACCCATCCTCCCACCCTGCAACTTTTTTTAAAGAACTTATTTATTTATTTGAGAGAGAGCTCACGCCTGAGCACGAGCAGGGTTAGGGAGAAGCAGACTCCCCAGTGAGCAGGGAGCCTGACACAGGGCTTCATCCCAGGGCCCTGGGATCATGACCTGAGCTGAAGGAAGATGCTTAACCGACTGAGCTGCCCAGGCGCCCCAATTTTTGCAACTTTTTAAAAGCAAAATTATTTTAAAATGGAAAGTTAAAAACAAACAAGCAAACAAATAGTAATGGGCCATATTATTATCAGAATGTTACTAGCACCATAATGGCTATAGCTTGAGTCTGGTTCACAAGGGATGGCCCTCCTGTGTACATGGCAAATGCTGCAAATCAACTACAGATATAGCTTTAGTCATGCTCAACTTAGTTTGCCCAACCAAATGACTGGTGGTGTTGTTACTAAAGAGGAAACCTATCTGCCATTCCCGGCATAGAGTATGTTTTGTATCGGAGTAGGAAGGAGGAAAGGGGGAGGCCTAGTGAAGAGCATAATAAATACCCCAGGGACAGTCCCTGAATGCCATTCCAAGGAGTTTAGTTGTAATCCTATGGGACAAAGGGAATGATCCAAGAGTTTTGAAGACAGGAGAGTAATGTATAACAGTAACTAACATTTAATGAGCATTAGCCACGTGCCAGCTCCATATATTAGTTCAATTAATTCCCACAGTTCTATTTAATGGGTAGTACTATTATTATCCCCCTTTTACTGATAATAAAACCAAGGCAAGAGAGGAGTAACTTGTCCAAGTCACACAACCAGTAAGTGGCAAACAGGGATGTAAACCTAGGAATTCTAAATCTGGAGCCAGTGCTCTAAACCTCTGTACTTCACTGTAAATATAAGGTTTGGACAAAATCTTCTGGTACACTGGAGGAGAACCAGAGTGGACGGGAATGGAGGCATGGAAGCCAGTGGGAAGGCTCTCAACAGTTTGGATGGAAGATGATAAAGGTCTAAATAACAATCCTATTGTAATTTCAGTTTTGCAGGAGTTTGCCACATTAAGGCAAATAATACCATTTAAAATAGGACTGTGTTGGGGCACCCTGGGTGGCGGTTGTTTTTAGAATATACGTGACATGATGGGAAATTTGAAGAAGAGTCCTGTAATGGTGCTCATGGAGCTTACAGTTCTTTACAGTTCTTTATAAATGTCACTTGCCCTAGTGAGGAAATGGGCAATCTTAGTGAATTTCAGGGAAGTGAAGTGGCCAGAAAATGTTTTTGTATTGTTACCTTTGAAAAGGTAAGCACAATATGTGTGGCCAAAAAAACAGAAGGGGAAAATGCTTTTGTATAATGAAAGGCAAATTTCAGTTTTCACCTCATGGCCAAGTTAGTAATATACAAGAGAAAATTGCTGTAACTGCTAGGCATATAAAAGGTATTCAATAAACAGTATCAAACTGAATAATGAATGGAGTTTACTACCCAATTTTACTGCCCTAAAAGTCTTTTTTTTTTTTTAAAGATTTTATTTATTTATTTGAGAGAGAGAATGAGATAGAGAGAGCATGAGAGGGGGGAGGGTGAGAGGGAGAAGCAGACTCCCTGCCGAGCAGGGAGCCCGATGCGGGACTCAATCCCGGGACTCCAGGATCATGACCTGAGCCGAAGGCAGTCGCTTAACCAACTGAGCCACCCAGGCACCCCGCCCTAAAAGTCTTTTATACAGTGTAAGATAGTGACTTTTAGAAATATTATTTCTCCCTTAAAATTTGTTAAGAAACTCATATTTCTAAACCAATAATAATAGCAATAGTAAAACAAGCTTAAATAAACCATTAATGTAAACATATTAAATTGGGAATTATTATTTGAGATACTTCAGTTTCTAATAAATCATATTTATCTTCAGTTCAATAGATATCATAAGGTTTAACACAATGGCATTCTGTAAAGCTTATCATCCAGCTAGTAAAATGTTGGTAATATAATAGGTTATTAACTGGGACTCCACTATGAAATAATTGGTGATACTTGTTGGGATGAAATTTAAATTTGTACTACGATGAGTAAAGGATTTCCCAACCCAATTTGAAAAATAAAATGAGGACACTTATCTTAGAAAGTCAATTATATGCCTTTAGCATATTATTTGTATTCAAAGATTATCCTGTAAGCAATCGTAATTTATTCTTTAATACAAGAGACCCAAATATCTACTTGAATATATTTTGTTGCTCAATGAGCAATTTAAACTCTTTTGTACTGACAGTCTGTAAGTCAGACTGGTTTCACCTCTCTCCTATCAAAAAGTAAGGAAACTATTTTCAGGACATTGGGGTGGGCCTGGGCAGGGAGACTGCAAAGGGAGACAGATGATGAGAAATCTTGACTGAGACATTGTCATGTCTCAAAGTTTTCCCTTTACCTTCCTTCGATATGAAGACCCTGGCGCCTCCTCCGTGTCGCTGACACTGCTTTCTGGCACTTCACTAATGTCTTCATTCACTCTTTTCATTATAGGGCTGCCACAGTTTTCCAATGCAGGGATGTCTATTTGAGTCTCATTAGGATAAAGCCTTTTGGGTGCTGCTTTTCTCAAGATACATCCTGGGGCCTTGCTGGTTGCATTTTTGCCAGTCTTTGAACTGTTGTTTGTTGAACACATCAGATCGGACCTGAGGTATTAAGGGATTAAATGAATGAACTGTTAGCCTGCAAATGTATATTTTTATATAACTAATGAAGCAATATGGGATGACAATGATAACACTAGTTTAGAGAATATATTGAAACAACATAGAACTGATTGTTGAAAGTTTAAAATTTACCTCAAAAAGTTAAAAATAGAACTACCTACCCTACTATCCAGTAATTGCCCTACTAGGTATTTACTCAAGGATACAAAAATACAGATTTGAAGTGTACATGCACCCCTCTGTTTATAGCAGCATTATCAACGATAGCCAAACTATGAAAAGAGCCCAAATGTCCATCGACTGATGAATGGATAAAGAAGATGTGATATATATATATATATAAATGGAATATTACTCAGCCATCAAAAAGAATGAAATCCTGCCAGGGCACCTGGATGGCTCAGTCGTTAAGCAGCTGCCTTCAGCTCAGGTCATGATCCCAGGGTCCTGGGATCCAGCCCCGCATCGGGCTCCCTGCTCAGCAGGAAGCCTGCTTCTCCCTCTCCCACTCCCCCTGCTTGTGTTCCCTCTCTCGCTGTGTCTCTCTTTGTCAAATAAATTAATTTTCAAAATCTTAAAAAAAAAAAAGAATGAAATCCTGCCATTTGCAACAATGTGGACACTCTAGTAAGGTGTATTACGTAGGTGTATTATACTAAGCAAAATAAGTCAGTCAAGGAAAGACAAATGCCATATGATTTCACTCTTATGTGGAATTCAAGAAACAAAACAGAAGCTCATATGGGAGGGAGAGGAATAAAAGGGAGAGAGAGAGAGAGGGAAACAAACCATAAGAGACTTTTTTATTATTATTAACATATAATGTATTATTTGTTTCAGAGGTACAGGTCTGTGATTCATCAGTCTTACACAACACACAGCACTCATCACAACACATACCCTCCCCAATGTCCATCACCGAGCCTCCCATCTTTTTTTTTATTTTATTATGTTATGTTAATCACCATATATTACATCATTAGTTTTTGATGTCATGTTCCATGATTCATTGTTTGCGTATAACACCCAGGGCTCCATTGGCTATTGTGGACATTGCTGCTATAAACACTGAGGTGCAGGTGCCCCTTCGGATCACTATATTTGTATCTTTGGGGTAAATACCCAGTAGTGCAATTGCTGGGTTGTAGGGTAGCTCTATTTTCAACTTTTTGAGGAACTTCCATACTGGTTTCCAGAGTGGCTGCACCAGTTTGCATTCCCACTAATAGTGTAGGAGGGTTCCTCTTTCTCCACATCCTCGTTCCTGACTTGTTAATTTTAGCCATTCTGACTGGTGTGAGGTGGTATCTCATTGTGGTTTTGATTTGGATTTCCCTGATGCCAAGGGATGCTGAGCACTTTTTCATGTGTCTGTTGGCCATTTGGATATCTTCTTTGCAGAAATGTCTGTTCATGTCTTCTGCCCAGACCATGAGACTTAACAATAGAGAACAAACTGAGGGTTGATGGAGGGAGGTGTGTGGAGGATGGGCTAGATGGGTGATGGGCATTAAGAAGGGCACTTATTATGATGAGCACTGGGTGTTGTATGTAAGTGATGAATCACTAAATTCTACTCCTGAAACCAATATTGCACTGTATGTTAACTAACTAGAATTTAAATAAAACATTTTTTAAAAAGAAAGCTAAAATTTACATATATTATTTAGAAATTTTCTAAATTTCTAAATAAATACAGATTCAAATTCTTCAGTAAAGCAACCCAGTGTGCATGAGACAAACTTGTGATATAGTAACAGGGCCTGAGTTAGAAAAAAAAATCAAATTACTATACATCTGCATGATAAAATTCTATACAGTCATTAAAAATCATATTTCCAAGTCATAATCAGTTATATTGTAACCTGTTCACAATATATTTTGTGGGGGACAAAGAGGATAGAAAACTGCATATCCTATATGATCCTGATCTTATTTTAAGACATCTTATGCAAAATAAAAAGTCTGCAATAAAGAACAGTGAGCCAAATGTTAATAGTGGCTATCTCCAGGTGGTGCAGTTTATCTTTTTTGTACTTTTCTCTATTTTCCAAATTTCCCATAGTACCTTTAAGTTAACTTTTACAGTGAAGCACCCTGCACCAAAAAAAAAACAAACCAAAAGTTATTGAGACAAAAGAAAAACAAAGGCTGTCCCCATGTCCGAGAAAGAAGAGTTCTAGGCAGTGAACAGAAACTTACCCGTGAACCTTAACACTGTATCCCTCCTAAAAAACAACTGCCAAAACTGGAAATGAGGTTTGGGTAATAACAAAGATAAATCAGACAGTCCTGTTAAATTCTGATCAGAAGAGAAAAAACGAATGTCTAGTGCATGATTGGTGCTATTTCTCACTAGTTAGCTCCTACTGTAGCTCTTCCTGATTCAGTCAATATTTCTGATCTAATGTTTTACTCCTCGATTGTTTCCTAAATGAATGCCAATGAATTATTTCAGAATAAGATTGCAATGGCTTTTTCCCACCTAGTAAAGATGTTAAAACATTGGTCTTACCTTTTTTGTTTTTGTGAAAGACACAGTGATTGTGGAGAAGATGCTCTACTTGGCTCATCAGCTAATGTAGCCAAAATAAAGTTAGCTTCCAGTAACATATCATCGATACTTAAAGCCATAGGTCTAAAAAAAGTCAAAGTCAGAGCAAGCATCATACATGTTTTCTGATGGACATTAGGAAAATTAGAAAATGACACTTCAGAAGTAAAAAGAGACAGTTAAAGTCCTGTTTGTCTTTTCACAAATTAACATGGTCCTTCGACATCATCAGATCTGATTTCAAAAAGCTCATCTAACCCAGTCTCTGAAATTTTAGTTCTGAAATACTATATGAAATATCATGGTTTCATAGAAATTAGACTTGTTTAAGCCATGTATAATTTAATTTTCTAATTAGGCAATTAATTTCACCATGCACTCTGCAGAATATATCTTTTTCAATTACCAATTTAAAAATGCCATGTATGGCATCCTTCAAATTTTAGTTTGGTAAGTGTTGCTAGTAAAGTTAAGGAATTCTTGAGGTGTGAATTAATTTCAAAGTGATCCAAAGGGTTTTATTATTGATATATAACAAAAGGAAGAAAGGAAGGAAAGAAAGAAGGGAGGGAGGAGGGAGGGAGGAAATTTCCCAAGGACTTACTTCCCAGGAAAATCAAAATGAATGGCTATAGGAGCACGTGTAGCCTCTGAAAATGTCAGCATTCCCTGAAAGAGAAAAAGAAGAAAAATAGTTGAAATCTTTATTTTAAAAACTACCAGTGAAATTTTGATACAAATTTTTATTTACCTTTAATTCTTTGAAGCAGAATGTTATTTCAGTATCAACTGCAATTTGAAAGAAGTCAAACTCATCTGGGCCAACAAACATTTCACTGTACACAGAATTGGTCAAACCTGTTCAATATTATAGGTAAAGAAAGAATAGAATTAGTTCCAGGGGTACTTGTTAAATTTTAATATGAAAATATAACTGTAAGTGATAGATTAAAAATAGCCACAAATCCTTTGACACTCTTTCACTGAGAGATGGGGTCTATCCCTGTGTCCCCTCCCCTTGAATTTGGGTAGTTGGGCTCTCTGACTGCTAAGACCAATAGTATATGGTGCTATGGATGAAATGACCTAGTATTGGTTTCCGAGCCCAGGCCTTAAGAGACTGGCAACTTCCGCTTCCTCTATCCTCCATCCACTTCCTCTATCCTTTAACACTCACTCTTGGAACTTGGCCACCATGCTGAGTTCATGCTATATGAAGACCAAGGTAATGGAGAGGCCATATGTGTGCAGGCACTCTGATTAACAGCCCAGATGTGCTCCCAGCATCAATTACCAGCCATGTCAGTGTGCCATCTTGGATGGATTCAGATGATTCCAGACCCAGCCACTGTCTAACTGCAATTGCATGAGACCCCAAGAACAAACTGTTTGGCTGAGCCCCATCAACCCACAGAAACATAAGAGATAAGAATGAATTATTTTGAGTTTTTCACTACAAAAATGTTTGATATACACACTCAGAAATACAAACACACACCTTCAGCCCTGGAGGACATAATAAGAAGTCTGTGACCCGGGAGGAGGCCCTCAGCTGACTTACAGCCTTCAGAACCATGAAATGTAAAGATTGCCTGTTCAAAGTCACTGGAGAAAGTCCAAAAGGAGGCAGAATCGAGAAGTTATTCAGCACTTAAAAGAAGCAATGATAATGGAGAGAGAGAGCAGCAGCAGAGAGAGAGGGAGAAGCAGGCCTCCCGCGGAGCAGGAAGCCCAATGTGGGGCTCCATCCCAGACCCCGGGATCATGACCTGAGCCGAAGGCAGACGCTTAACCAACTGAGCCACCCAGGCGCCCCAGAAGTGCTTCATCGTGTTGTACTGAGTGACATGAGGCCTCACCTGTGCAAGCTGGGAAATGTAAGAAGTTTAAAAAGAAGGAGGAGGAAGTAGGAACGAGGGAGAAAAGAAACAACAAATAAACACACATAAAATAGGCACTATTTGTCTGTAGGCTTCTGACTGAGCACAGAAAGCAAGTCATTCAGCAAAAAGTAGAGTCATCTTTGTGAATATTGCATAGCTCCCTATTGCTTCCTTCTCAAAGATGCCTCAGGATAAAGCTAAGAAATGAAAGTCTTTGTCATTTTCATTTCTCCTTAAAATCGGGAGGAAAGAGGAGAAACATTTCATGGATACAAAGATATCTGAAAGGAACCACAAAAATAAAAATTCAGAATAAAAAAAAGAAATACATACACACACACGAGTACCTTTTCTTTTTCTCACTTTCTTTTTTTTCTAATTGAAGTGTAGTTAACATACAGTGTTACATTAGTTTCAGGTATATAATATAAAAATTCAACAATTCTATACATTTCTCAGTATTCATCAATATAAATTACTCTTAATCCCCTTTATCTATTTCACACACACACACCGCCAACCACTAGTTTGTTCTCTGTATTTAAGAGATGTTTGTCTCTTTTTTTTTTTAATTTTTATTTTTTTAAAGATTTTACCCATTTGACAGAGAAAGACACAGCGAGAGAGGGAACACAAGCAGGGGGAGTGGGAGAGGGAGAAACAGGCTTCCCGCGGAGCAGGGAGCCCGATGTGGGACTCGATCCCAGGACCCTGGGACCATGACCCGAGCCGAAGGCAGACGCTTAACAACTGAGCCACCCAGGCGCCCCTCTTTTTTTTTTTTAAAGATTTTATTTATTTGACAGAGAGAGCACAAGCAGAGGGAGAGAGAGAGAGAAGCAGGCTCCCTGCTGAGCAAGGAGCCTGATGTGGGACTCGATCCCAGGACCCTGGGATCATGACCCGGGCCAAAGGCAGCCACTTAACCGACTGAGCCACCCAGGCGTCCCAAGATGTTTGTCTCTTTTTCTTTGTTTGTTCATTTGTTTTGTTTCTTAAATTCCACATATGAGTGAAATCATATGGTATCTGTCTTTCTCTGATTGACTTATTGCATTTAGCATGATATCCTGTTTTAAAAAGATTTTATTTATTTGAGAGAGAAAGAGAGAGAGGGCACTCATGCACCAGCAAGGGGAGGGGCAGAGGGAGATGGACAAGCTGACCCCTGTTGAGCAGAGACTGACGCAGGCTCGATCCCAGGACGCTGAGATCATGACCTGAGCCAAAGTCAGACACTGAACTGACTGAGCCACCCAGGCGCCCCTAGCATTATATCCTTTAGGTCCATCCATGCTGTCGCAAATGGCAAGATTTCATTCTTTTTTATGACTGAGTAATACTACATTATATATACACACCACATCTTCTTTATCCCTTTGTCTATGATGGATTTGGGTTGCTTCCATATCCTGGCTATTGTAAATAATACTGCAGTGAACACAGGGGTGCATGTATCTTTTCAAATCAGTGTTTTCATTTTTTCTGGGTAAACACCCAGTAGCAGAATTATTGGACCATATGATATTTCTATTTTTAATTTTTTAAGGAACCTCTATACTGTTTTCCATAGTGGCTGCACCAATTTACATTCCCACCAACAGTACACAAGGGTTCTTTTTTCTCCACATCCTTGCCAACACTCATTATTTCTTATGTATTTGATTTTAGCCATTCTGACAGGTATAAGATGAGATCTCATTGTGGTTTTTTTTTTCTCTCTCTTTAAAGAAAGGCAGACTACCACATGTAGCACCTCATTTGGATGTGTCTGGAGTCTTGGAAGCTTGACTACCCTACACTCTCCTGCAAATGGACCTTGAGAGCTTGTTTGAAGGCTCCAGCAGGGAAGCTCAGCTATTCGTATACCCTTGACCAAAGAACGGTCCTCCTCTATTGGGAAGGTTGTCCTCTTTGAGCGTGAAGCCTTGGGAGGGACACACATGGAGTGGTGAGGGAGGAAGGGGACACCCGCCTAGCAGCCAGATCAGCTGAATCAATCCTGGCGATCAATGGAGTGACAGATGTTTCAGCCACATGGCCCTCACATCTTCATTGTGGTTTTGATTTGCATTTCCCTGCTGATGAGTGATGTTGAGCATCTTTTCATGTGTCTGTGCCCATCTGTATACATTCTTTGGAGAAAGTATTCAGGTACTCTGCCCATTTTTTAAAAAGATTTATTTATTTGAGAGAGGGAGAGAGAGTGAAAAGAGAGAGAGTGGGAGGCAGGGGCAGAGGGAGAGAGAATCTTAAGCAGAGTCTGCACTGAGCGCCCGACATGGGCTCTATCCCATGACCCTGAGATCACAACCTGAGCCAAAATCAAGAGTAGGATGCTTAACTGACTGCACCATTCAGGTGCCCCAATCTGCCCATTTTTTTTATTGGATTACTTTTAATAGCTTCATAGTATTTCATTATCTTTACTCAACCAATCTTCTGATATTAGATCTGAAGTATAGAAGGAGATGTCCCAAACTATTAAAAGTGCTTATCTCTGGATAGTGGGATTTCAGGTGACTTTTTTTTATTAGTGCTTATTTTGTGTTTTTTATTTTCTTCAATGAACATGAATTAACGTAAGTGTAAGAACAAAGGATAAATAGTATATATATATATTTTTAAAGATTTTATTTATTTATTTGACAGAGAGAGACACAGCGAGAGAGGGAACACAGGAAGGGGGAGTGGGAGAGGGAGAAGCAGGCTTCCCGCCGAGCAGGGAGCCCGACGTGGGGCTCGATCCCAGGACCCCGGGATCATGACCTGAGCCGAAGGCAGACACTTAACAACTGAGCCACCCAGGCGCCCCCAGTATATATTTTTTAAAAGGACCAAACACTGGGTGCCTGGGTGGCTCAGTCGTTAAGCGTCTGCCTTCAGCTCAGGTCGTGATCCCGGGGTCCTGGGATCGAGCCCCACATCGGGCTCCCTGCTCGGCAGGAAGCCCGCTTCTCCCTCTCCCACTCCCCCTGCCTGTGTTCCCTCTCTCGCTGTGTCTCTCTCTGTCAAATAAATAAATAAAATCTTTAAAAAAAAAAATAAAAGGACCAAACACTATCCTAGAAATCATTCCTATCAAACAAGAAGACTCATGTCACTTCCCGAGTACTAGCATAGAGTAGGTTCAATAATAAACAATTGGGTCCCTAGTCAACCATAACTATAACTACTCATTAGAAAGCTGCTCACAAGGGACAATATCTCCTGGTTACTAAATGGCCATCTTTATTCAGAGATGGCATTATGGAATACAAAACAGACCCTTTCACTAGCCAAGCATATAGTTTCCTGATCATGCGCTTCTGAGTGTCAAAAAACAATGCTAGGTAAGACTAGAAAGAAGCAATAAGAGCACAATGGTTAATGAGCCTGTGCCTTGGAGCCTATGTTCAGATAATCCACACTTACTGTGTGACACCAGGCAAGTCACTGAGTTTCTCTGTGCTTCACATGAAAAAATGGACATAATAATAGGACCTACATCACAGAGCTTAGAAAGATCACATGAATTCATAAATGAAAACCATTTAGAAAAAGAACATAGAGGGGCACCTGGATGGTTCAGTTGATTGAAAAGCTGACCCTTGATTTCAGCTCAGGTCATGATCTTGGGGTCCTGGAATCGAGCCCTGCATCAGGCTCCCCACCCAGCAGGGAGTCTGCTTGAAATTCTCTCCCTCTGCCCCTCCCCCTGCTCACACTCCCCTTCTCTCTCAAAATAAATTAATATTTTTTTTTAAAGTTAAAAAAAAAAAAGAACAAAAACATGGCACACACTAAACACCACAAAAGTCATCTGATCCAACTTCAGCCCTAATTCTACTGGTTTTTCAGTCTGGAATAATACAGTTCCCTCCCTTTCTTTTCTTTACTGTTGTCACACACACACATGCAGACACACACACACACACACCAAATTACCCAAGGTTCAAGAGTCTCAAACAGCTTGTACCCAAAAGACCATAGTCAATTTTCTTGGTAGCAAAACTTCTGATTCAATCATGCCTTAGTTTCTCCATTCAATCTAGATAACTCTTGGAGGAGCTGACGTAAGTATTCACATTTTCTGCTGTGTGTATTTGCCATCTGGAGTATCTTACTTCTCTAGTTCAAAGCTACTTTTTCTTCTTATGTGATTAACAATAATCTCAGTTGGATTGCTGGCCTCTTAATTTTTCTTTATGCTAAACACAAAGGTTGATAAAAGATGAAAAACAGGGGTGCCTGGCCGGCTCAATTAGAAGAGCATGCAACTCTTGATCTTGGGGTCATGAGTTTGAGCCCCATGTTGGGTGCAGAGATTACTAAAAAATAAATAAATTTTAAAAAAGATGAAAAACAGACCTTAAAAATCTTAACTGAAAATATACTTTTCTCAGTAACGATTCTCCTAATTTTAAAACAACCTGAATTTCAAAGCCAAATATTTTAATTATTGATTCTGTTCCATTTCCTGGATCCCTTAAAAATTTTAATGATCTTTCTACATCTTACTGCTTTTTAGACAAGAATAAAAGTTATGCCACCAATGTTTACTGTATGGTCAGTCATCAAGAAACCCAGGAAGTGACATGCCATCCGAGCGCCATGACAGATGTAGTCCTCACCCATTGGTTCATCACTGGAACTCTTAAGGCAAACGCTGAGTGGGGTAACAGCAAGAGTAACTTCTTCTTGACTTGATGTAAAAAGAACAACTGCCTCAGCAAGCACTCTACAAAAAGTAATGAAAAGTACTATGTTACTTGAAAAACAAGAAGAAAGAATCTTATTAAATGGGACTCAAATCTTTAATCTGGAAATAAACAGGTTAGTCAGCCTAGATTTTTTAAAAACTTACCCAAAATACCAAATAGCTGCAATATTTTTAGTACATTTTAAAAATTCACTTGAAAGCCAAGAGAATAGTAAAATATATTCTTAGTATGACATGTAAAAGCTGCAGAATAAACCAGACACTGGAAGAAATGTCTTCAATTCCATGGTTTTATATACCCCCTATATATTTTTAATGACCTGCAATCATACTCCTAAGGGAGGTAGTAGAAAACATCGCTGTTCAGACAGAACCGGGTGGAACTATGCTGGAGATCTGGGTGAGGGGTAGAGGTTTACGAGCAGCCTGCTACTTATATTCTCTTTCCCTTTGTTACTTGTCCTAGATTATTACCTATTACTTTCAAGGTTGTCTTGACATCCCAAATGCCCTTTTATCCTGAGCTCCCTTTTTAAAAATAGTTTTATTGATACAGAATTCACATACTGTACAATTCACAGATTTAAAGTTTTTTAACTTGTATTTCCCTAACTATTAATGATGTTGAGCACCTTTTCATGAGCTTTTCAACCATTTGTATATCTTCTTTGGCAAATTATCTATTCAAATCCTTTGCCCATTTTTAATTAGGTTATCTTTTTATTATTACATTACAAGATCTGGGCTACTTTTGAAATTGTTGTCAGATAAAAGTGAGATTCTTAGAATGTATGTAATGTTGATGTTAACCTGATGCTAGACATTAGCTCAGCAGTGTTTCTTGATGCCAAAATGTCAGGAACACCTACCAAATTCATCTAGGAACTTTTCCAGTGTTGATGGTGTTTTATAAAAGACCAAATAACCTGATACAAAAAAATTACAACATAAATGTGCAATTCAAAAAGGAAGAAAAATACAATAAATATATGAAAAGATGTTCAAACTCCCAAGGAATCAACGCAACAAAAAAGGACATCTAATAATACAATTTTCTACCTATCAGGTTGGCAAAAATTTTAAAGATTGATCATATATGTTTTACTTGAAAGGACTCCCCTACACTTCTGGTGGGAATGTAAGTTGGCTCATCCTTTAAGACAGCAATTTGGTAGTCAGTATGTATGCAAATTTAAAATTTGGTAAGCCTTTGACCCAGTGATTTCATTTCTAGGACTCTGTGTTAAGTGTATAAGATGGCCCCCAGTGATCCCCACCTCCTGGTATTTATGTCCTCATATAATCCTCGGCCCTTGAGTGTGGGCTTAATTTATAGAGTCACTTCTAACAAAGAAAATGGCAGAAGTGATGAAATGTCAGTTCTGAGATTAGATTATAAAAAGACTTTGGTTCCATTTGTGAATTCTCTCTCTCAATCAGTCATCTCAATCAATTCTCTCTCTTTCTGATTACCAGTGGCCACGTTGTAAAGACAATCAGATAATCCACAGAGAGGCCTGTGTGGTGAGGAACTGAGGCCTACCAGCAACCAGACTGGTGAGCTTGGAAGTTGATCATCTGAGGGCTCCCCACAGCCATGTCTGTGAGTTTGGGAGTGAGCCCCCCCCCAAGTCCAGCCTTCAGATGAGACCACAGCCCTGGCTGACAGCTTGACTCCAATTTCATGAGACACCTTGAGCTGGATGCACCCAGTTAAGCCACACTTATAACTATGAAGTAATCAATATCTGGTTTCTTAAAGCTCTGAGTTTGGGGGAAATTTGTTCCACAGAAATAGGCAACTAATACACTTTTTTTTTTATGGCAAAAAGCTGGAAACAACCTACTTTTTCACTAATAGGACAATGGGTAACTAAATTATGGTTCAGTCATACAGTAAAAAATTATGTAATCATTAAAAACAATAAGATTGATTTAAGTGAACTGACACAGAAACTTAATAAATCAAGTTGCCAAATAATAACAGTAGGACATTTTCTTTGAAAAAATTAGTTACAAGTATGTGTCTAATAAGTAATATAAATTTGAGAGGGGGGAAGAAGGAAGAGAAAGAAAGATATCCATAGCTATAAGGAGAGGGTGAGTTACAGAGAGATTGGCTATATAGAGAAGAAGATCTACAAGGATATACACCAAATTGTTGATTGATGTTACCTCTGCAAAGTGGGATAGAGGGGACAGGTAGAGGAGAAAAACTTTTCATTTTTTATCTTTGTACTCCTCTATAAATTCTAGATGTATTACAAGGAGCATGTATTGCTTGTTTAATTTAAAGAACAATAAGGATAAAATATCCTTTGGCTCACAAAGTAATTAATGTTTAATGCTACAGCTTAACTAAAAAATTGGTGCACTTTTCTGACAAATGAACTAAAAAATTGGGTGCATTTTTCTGACAAATGCACTTTTCTGACAAATGCACATTCTCTAAAGAAAAAATGCAAACACTTGGGATAAAATAAGTTTACATAAAAACATTAATGTTTCCTTGTGTTGTGTGTTTTAAGACTTAGGCAGAAGGCAATATATAAATGCAAAGTATAATTAGGTAATATATTTTTCCCTTGGTATCACTTGATGTAGAAAGGCACTAATGGGATATTTTTAGAACTTTCTTGCCACTAAATCATTATTGCTACCATTAAGCAATTATATTATCTACTATTATCTTTTTCACAGTTTCCTCTTGACCTTGTAAGGGGATTTCTCCAAGTCAAATGTTAGCTTTTTAAAAAAATATAACTGGGCGCCTGGGTGGCTCAGTTGGTTAAGCAACTGCCTTCGGCTCAGGTCATGATCCTGGAGTCCCGGGATCAAGTCCCACGTCGGGCTCCCTGCTCAGCGGGGAGTCTGCTTCTCCCTTTGACCCTCCCCCCTCTCATGCTCTCTCTATCTCATTCTCTCTCTCAAATAAATAAATAAATAAAATCTTTAAAAATAAATAAATAAATATAACTGATTTCAAATTTTAATTAAGGGCATTAACTCTTTACTCTGTGCCCACATTATATTTAGAAAAAAATAAATACCAGAGAACTCATTACCTTGGTTGAATAATTAGTGTATTAGAACACATATTCTTTTCAAAAATAACTTGCAAGGGCTGACTTTCTTGAAAACACACATTATGAGTTCTTCTAATACCTTAAAAAGAATAAAGCAATCTGTTAATAATTTTAAGTGCAACATTAACTATTTAAAAAGTCTACGTTTCACAGCCACGTTAAAATAATAAAAGTAAAGAAACATTTCCTATCTGGCAGGTGCCCGTAGCTTGAAGGAGCAGAATTCCTTTACGAAATGTGTTTATTGCCCCCTAGTGGACACCATGCAACATGCCATATCCTCGGACCAATCAGGCAGTAGAGCTCCCAAGTTCTTTTGAAATACAAGTTATTTCTTAAATTGTGGGTAAAATAGTGATTGCCCACTCTAGTTCATGTGCCTATCATTCTCTTTCACTACCTTTCATCCAGGTTTGATATTTCTGGGTTTCTGGGAATTCTGGAAGTATGAGCCAGCAACGGTAGTATGCATTTTACACACATTACCTATGATCTTCACAACAGCCCTGTGGGGTAGGCACTTAGTCTCAGAAGAGGAACCTGTAGCCCAGTAAGGCTGACTGACTTTTCAAGGTGATGCTATTTTAATAAGTATAGGGAGAATGTGAACCTAAGTTTGAATACAGAGCCCATGTAATGAAATCCAGATGGGCTGTAACTTTCTACAGCCCAATAATGTTGTGGTGAGAATCAGAAGGACTCACTAGAAGCAACATTTCTCATCTAACTTGGATTTTTTTTTCTTTTAGGGAGGAGGGGGAGAGGGAGAGAGAGAATCCCAAGCAGGCTCCATGCCCAGCCCATGAGCCCGACACAAGGCTCAATCCCATGACCCCAAGATCACGACCTGTGCTGAAATCAGGAGTCGGACTCCTAACCAACTGAGCCACCCAGGCGCCCCTGGGGTTTTTTTTAATACAAAATTAATAATGGCAACATTTATTAATTTCATATTTACAGACCACCTACTATGCACAAAGCTGCATTAGTTAGCTTTTGCTGGAGAACAAACCACTCCAAAACTTAGTGGCTCAAAATAACAAACATTTATTATTTCTCACAATTCAGCTGAGTAGTTCTGGTTTCAGCTGGCTTAGCTGTGGCTGGACATCTTGGATGGCTTCACTTTCATGTTTAGGGCCCAGTGGGACAACTGGCATGGCTGAGACGGCTGAGGCCTCCCACCACATGGTCTTAATCCTCCAGAAGTCTACTGTGCAGCACTTGTTCTCATGCTGAGGGAAGGGTTCCTGCTTTCACAGGGGAAGCTGCCAGGCCTCTTAAGGCCTAGGCTTGCAACTCACACAATATCACTTCTATTTAATTGATAAAGCAAGCCCAAGGCCAGCCAAGATTCCAGCTGGGGAAACAGACTCCAGCTTTCGAAGGGTGGGAAGCAGCAAATAATTTGTGAGCACTTGTCTGGTAATCTACTACACAGGAACAATTTCAGGAGCTAGGGATTAGCAAAGCACAAATCAGACAAAAATCTCTCTCCTCATAGAGCTTACCTTCTAGGGAAGGGAGACAGACGATAAGAAAATAAATAAGTAAAATAATTGATAGGTCACATTGTGGTAAGGGCCACAGGAAAAAAGCAAAGCAGAATGGGCATTAGGGGTGCCAGTCATGGTAGACAGCAATTTTAAATAGAGGGGTCAAGGAAGACCTCATGGAAACGAAGCCATCGGAGTAAAGACCTGGAGGAGGAGAAAGAGCAAAGCAACATGCTATCTGGAGAAGGAGCTTGCTAGGCAGAGGGCTCCCAACCCATGTAGGACCTTATTGGCCACTGTAAGATCTCTGGCTTGTACCCTGGGTAAATGGGGAGGGCTTGGGGGAGGCGTTGAGAGAATTTTGAGCACTGGAGTGACATATCCAACCTATTTCATCTTTGCACTCATCCATACATCTTAGATGTACTACAAAGAGCATGGCACTGCAAGGAATTACTGTGATTTCTATTTTGGGAAGACACAAAGCTCGAAAGTTGGCATAATTTACCCTATTTTAAAAACTATTTCCAAGTTACTTTTGGAGCAACAGGTATTAGATGCTTATGGTCTAAAGTGCAAAAGATACCAAAGAATAGTCAGTGAAAAGTAAGACACCCCAACCCCTGACTCCTGCCACCCCCCTACCCTCCACAGAGGGGACCACTGTTAGCAGTTTCTTAGGTATTCTTAGAAACAGCCTTGGCATATGCAGCACGATCATACCTCTAGAACATACCTCTAAATATTTCACTCAAGTGAATACTGGCATGGCCAAACATGCCCAAGCAGAGAAGTGTCTAATTTCCTTGTCATTCCTGATGCTCCTTTTCTTGCCACTTGCTTCCTTCTCCTTTTTCCTTATCGACAAGTGCTAAACACTTTCAGCCTATACCTTTTGTTCCCACTGCTTGCTCCTCATAGAATGCCTTCCCATTTCCACCTCCTGGAAACTCACCTAGTCACTCACCTAGTCACTAACCACCAAGCCTTTCCTCTTCACCTTTCTCTCCTCTGAATCTCTGGCCCAAAGAACATCCACTGTACCCTTTTTATTTTATCTTATTTTTTTAAGTAGGCTCCACGTTGGGCATGGAGCTCACATGGGGCTTGAACTCACGACCCTGAGATCAAGACCTGAGCAGAGATCAAGAGTCAGACACTTAACTGACTGAGCCACCCAGGCGCCCCCCCCACTGTACCCTTTTTAAAGCATGTACCTCTTCACTGCAGTTTTTCTAGTCTTCTAGTTTAATAACAATTTTCCTTGATAGGATACAAATGGGATAAACATTTAGAAGTCCTGTTTTCTCCCTGGGTCATTTATTAACCTTATCTTGTGCTGCACAAAGTACTGGACTATAATGCAATAAGGAGTTTTGCATTAGAATGGACTTCCTTCATGGAGAAAATCTTACTACTAAGAACAACAACTGGGGCGTTTGGGTGGCTCAGTCAGTTAAGCGTCCAACTTGATCTCAGCTCAGGTCTTGATCTCCAGGTTGTGAGTTCAAGCCCCGCACTGGGCTCCACGCTGGGAGTGAAGCCTACTCAAGAAAAAAAAAAAAAGATAACAACAACAACAGCTGAACTAAAGCAAATGCTTAGTCACATGTTTGGCTTAAATTCTGGCATAAGCTCCTTAATATCTCACAGACCCGTGACAACAGCTTGGGGCCCAGCAGCCAGGCCAACGATCATTCTGAGTAGTAGCGTCTCATCCCATCTGCTCCTGGCCATGGGATTCCTGATGCTAGTTCTACTTTCCACTTCATAAGCTCAATTTGGAACTTCCCTCAGTGGGTCCAGAGAACTCTTTCAAACCTGAAGAGGTACAGCTAAGGAACAACCATTATTTTGGAGATGTTACATTTGTAGAGTTTAGAGTTTCAGAGGTCAGTGATACTTCAAAAATCTTGTAAGTTATTTAAATGGGACCCAATCCCTATAAGTTCACTGTTAAGCAAGTTTAAAGTCATTAGTACATCCGTAGAATGCCCTTTGACAAAAACTTGAAACCTTGAAGTGGGATTCCTGCCTTCTTGACATCACTTCATTAATACATGCGTATGAATCAAAGTTTTATTTTCACTCAGTATCCCAGTGCACTCCTCTTCTCTTATGGAAGCCCCTCTCTGCTGGAGGCCTGTCTCTTTGAGCCAGGACAGAACACATTAGCATGTCGTGTGTATCAGAGAGTGTGGTTCAGGAACTCACAGACTCATTTTTAGCAATTCTAGGGCCAGTGCAAAGAAAGAATGGAGAATTGGTGGAATTATTAATAAAATAAATATTTCAGGTAAATCTTGGTTCTCGATGATACAAATCCTTGTTTCCTGTTAGCAGATGCGAAATAATTCAAGAAATCACCGTTCTGGAAACTTTTCAAGGTTAGATTTAGAGAAGTTAGTCTTT